ATACACACACACACACACACACACACACACACACACACACACACACACACACAATCAATTTTGTGTATGTCTGTCTGTTGTCTTGTCTTTTTTTCTTTCCCCCTATTTTTCCTTTCTAGCTCAGCCTGTTGTAGTGAGCACCCTCAATAAGTGCTAAAGAGTCGGTGATTCGGTGTCCATAGCGCCAACAACACTCTTAGGGGGGTCGGGTTTAGGATGTCTGTGTTGCCAATGGGTGATGACAAATGTTTGTTTGGGTGACTCTTTGGCTCAGCAGATGGTGAGAACCAACAGCCCTCAGGGTAACAAATGCAAGTATAAAAATGGCAAGGACTGAAAAAATAAAACTGATGATAGATTGGAGTTGCACCGACTCATCAGGAGGCTAAACCCTCGAGAATCTGCGTAATCGTTGTATTGATGGTCTGGTCATCAACCCTTTGACACATGTTGAAGGCAGACTGTCCACAAGCGAAGCACCAGGCAACGCTGCCGGAGCAACCCGACTGCACAACGACAAAAGTGACTGTGAGGAACGACCCGATCAGCGCACGAGCAACAGGGCAACAGCACGACGACGCACAAGGCAACACCAACACAGCAGCCATACTACTCGACACATTAGCAAGAAACATGGAAGGCATGGCACACAGATAGGCAAGCGGACGAGCAGCAGGGAAACAACGCAGCGAAGCAGAAGGCAAAACCAACACATCAGCCACACTACATGACCCACAAGCAAGGAACGTGGAAGGCACGACACATGAATGGGCAGCAATGCACTAGCGCAGCGAAGCACAGAGTAACACTAACACCACCCCGACGAACGTCGAATGACAACATCACAACCACAATATGGCCCTGCTCTCCCACTGGTAAAGGGAAACTGTGTCAGTGATGTCGGGCCCAGTTCCCAGCATTGTTATAAATAAAGATACTTGTTTCTGTACTGATTTAGGGGTAGCTTCAGTAGAGTTGGGTTGTATACATTGACCATGTGTAAGTAAAGATATTTGTTTCTGTAGTGATAAAAAAAGGGGGTATCTTCAGTAGAGTCACAAAATCGAGGTATAATTGCACTGTGGGGCAAGGTACAGTTGTGTAACCCGATGTAGGTCGTACGGGGATTCTTTTGTACGGCCGTACGGACGGTCCCGTACAAAGTGACGAACGCCCCCCCCCAAAAAAACGTAATATATACGATGTATATATATTTCTGTTTGTGACGATATATATATATATATATATATATATATATATATATATATATCGTCAAACAGAACTGCCCGGTAAACCGTAGGCAGAGAGGGAGAAGAGGACAACAAACGAGGGGCTGTGACAAA